AATTCCCAAAAGACAAAGTCAACAATACTAAAACCACGAGACCCAAACTAAAATAACCAGATTTAAAAGGTTCCTATCAATATGGCAGGCCTGGGCTTGGGTGGTAGGAGTAGGAGAAGGAAGCTGGGAACACTGGTTTCCTAAAAGGAAGTTGATACTGATGTTTGTATCAGTGATGTAACATTCACACGATCACGATCATCCTGTTGTTCATCGATTTCCTTGAGCAGGCACCAGTAACGTCTCCTTCTTCCTAGCCCTGAGATTTTAAAAGAGCCATTTCAATGCTATTTCAGGATTAGGAGAATGAGACCCATCATTATTACTGGCATTTGGCATATTGAATACAACACGGCAAGTTTGCCAGACTCTGCCGTGCGGGCAGGATCCTTTTGGTAGCCTGCCAGGTTCTCCAAAGGAAAATAAGATAATAAGATGTCTCGCAGCCACAGATGTGGCCACGCTCTTCCAGGAGCTGGGTTTTATAGTCTCTGCATCCTGGACGTTGATGGGACCAACCTGGTGCTGGCGGCAGCTGGTGGGTGTGACACCTACCTACTGGAAGATGGAGGGTCTAGGTGGAGAAGGCCCAGTCCAAATCTGAGTAGGCTTGGAGACCTCAGCCCCAGGACCCGCATGCCTGGGTTCCTCTGCCAGTTCTTTCATGCATGAGGCCCGTCCAGACGTGTGGAGAGTGGTCCCAGCATGGCCGTGGCTGGTTCCGGAGGTCCTCAGCTGCTGGGGCTCTGCTCGGGGCGGACGGGGGGAGAGAAACTCAACCCGCCCCCCTCCAATGGGCCCCAGTAAGGACAGGCAAGCACAGGGGCAGGAGACTCTGCGCTATTCTCCAGGAGCTGGGTTTTATACTCTCTGCGTCTTGGCCGTTGATGGGACCAACCTGGCGCTGGCGGCAGGTAGCCAAGCCTCCTCGGATTGGGACTAGGCCTTCTCCACCTAGACCCTCCATCTTCCAGTAGGTAGGCATCACACCCACCAGCTGCCGCCAGTGCCAGGATGTAACATTGTATGTCAAAAACCCAATTATGAATAACTGCAATTCACAGTGCTTTAATAAAATAAAATTTTGGAAAAAATACAAAAAAAATCATACTTACATATGAAAATAGCAAACAAGATACAATTATAAACATTTAAATTAACTGCCTCCGAATTCATAGCTAAATTTATAAATGCAGAGTTGGCACAATATTATTATTGAAAACAGTGTTAGGTGGAGGAATAAATGAACACCATTGTATGAATCTGTTCCATGTTTCTTGAGAGAGGTTAATGTGTTGTGTTGTGGTTCACAAAGAAGCAATATTTCTGGAGGAAGTATTGAAAGATGTTTTAATGGATCACAAGAAAGGGAGGTAGAGAGCAGAGTCTGGGAAACTATAGGACACATAAGGTTCATGGGTGTGGGGGAAGAGATGGAGGTGAAAGACAGAGATGAGAAACAAATACCACCTGTTCCTTTTTTTTTAGGGTCTTCAATAGAGGGTCACTAATCAAAATGTTTCTATTATTTTAAATGTACCCTATGGCTGATAATGCCAGTAATATATGAATAGGCAAGTGTTTGTTATCATCTCACAGGGAATCTATACGCAATATGATAAATGAGGTACTTACTTTGCTTTCTCCAAGAGTTAGAAAGTATGGGAACAAACAAGAGTAATGTCCTTTACTGTAACCCCAGTATTATCATCAGTTCTAAGTTATTGTTCAGTCAGGAACTTAGTTCCAATCTCCTAGAAATATTTTCCATTAGTCTGTTTGCTTTAAATTTTCCAGCACCTCTTATTTGTCCTAGAGTATTTAATCAAATCTTAGAGATCAGATTTTAAATTGGCTAGAAATGCTAAATAAGCAGTAAAGTTGGAAAAAACAGACAAAAGAGGCAGTTAATCTTTCAATTTTTATCCCTAAAAATCATCCAGGGATTTTCCATTTGCAATTCTGTATTAGGTTTCAGACATCTATAAAGTGTTAAAATTATTTGCTACCAAATATAAGTTCAAAAAATTTGCTACCAAATATGAGATTAATAAATTCTCATCATACATGAAAACTCCTTTCTTAAACAATAAAGAGAAAATAAAAGAAGGATGCCGCTGAATGCTCACAAATAAAGATCAAGCTTGATAGCTGACCAAAATATAAATGCTAGGTAATTCAAATATATTTTATTACATTTAATAAACATTTAAAATTCAAATTGTAGTTACAACTGAATGATCGCCTTTACTTTAAAATACAAAATAAAAGTCAACTGTACATTTAGTTTTACATTACATTTTGTTTATTACATTTTTCATATGACAATTTTTTATTTTTGGCAAGTTATATTAGCTATGAAAATCAAAATTAGTAAAAAGAAGTTGAAATATGGACACATTAAACATAAATATGGAAATTACATAAAAACAAAATTATTTTCTATCGATTTGGTTAACATTACATTAAATGGCTTATTGTCAAAATCCCCAAATTTTATAATTTTAAGAGTGTTGGGCACAAATATCAGTTCACATAGAATTTACATTTACAATAAAAGGAATATCAAAAGAAACAAAACTGTTATTAATACTTTGCTAATTTTATCATAGCCTAACAACTGAACTTTAAGGTTACATCTAAATGAAACTAATGTTTTGTATATTCCATCTAAAATCTGCTTACATAAGACAATACAATTAATTTTAGGATTTTAGAGCATAAAAAGTAACACCATTATAAATAAACCATTTTATTATTATTCTTTTATTAATTTTTATTAGTTCCTAACAACATATTTAACACTTTTGAAAGTTATATTCATGGATCTTTAAAATATTAGTATTTTAACTCTAGATATCATCAGAAAGTAAAATAAGGTTAATGAAATATTTAAGAAATGTTTATTGCTTTCAAACTTTTGCATTCTTGTCATTGTTTCACAGTTTCATTTTTTAATAACTCCCTTGTACATGTTTGTAATTTACAAAATGCACTATTGGACCAGAGAGATAGTACAATGGTTAGGGAGATTGCTTTGCATGTGGCTGACCCCGGTCACATATCCAACACAACACATAGTACCCCAAACCCCACCAAGAGCAACCCCTAATCACAGAGCCAGGAGTAAGCCTTGAGCACCATCAAGGGTGGCCCCTCCCCAAAAATATTATTCTCCTTATTTAAATTACATTAAAATGTTTTCTTTTTTTACATTTTTATTTTTGGAGCCACACCCAGCAATGTTCTCAGGGATCACACCTGGTGGTCTTCAGGGGACATTATGTGGCTCTGGAGATCAAACCCAGGTCAGCAAGCACCTATCCCCTGTACTATATCCCTGGGTCATTTTATTTTAAATATTGATTTTAATTGTCTCTGAACTAGGGACCAGGTATTTATTTTTAAATTTTATTTTGCTTTGCTTGTGGGCCACACATGATGGTTCTCAGGGCTTACTCCTGGCTTTCTGCTTAGTGATCATTTCTAGCGGTACTTGGCAGACCATATGAGGTGACAGAGATATGACCAGGTTGCCAGGTGCAAATGTTTGCCTCCAGCACTGTCTCACTGTCCCCTAGGCACCAGTTTAGAGCTTCCTAGCTACACTTTGGTTCAAAACATCAAATATATATTCTTTTGTAAATTTTATAGGTACTGAAAATTTAAGTTCTAGATTTTAATGTGGTTGGGGTTTCAATTTTGTTTATTTTTTATTATTATTTTTTGCTTTGCAATGCCTATTTTGTTTTCCAGTTTGGTCCTGATCAGGGCACAGATTTAGCAGATTTCTAGCTATATTATATTCAACAATATCAAACAAATGACAATATTTTTACACTTAAAGATAAAAATAAAAATTTTTGTGTTAAGAGTTATACTTTAATTTTTATATGTTCTACTGTTATGTTGTTATGGTTAATTATATCAGTTTCGTTTGGTAGATCTACTTTTGTTTCAGTCTGTTCCTGATCTAGGCATAAATTAAACATCAATCTGGCTATAGTGCACTGAAAAATTTAGTATGAATGATAAGCCAGTAAAAAGTATACAACTTTACCCTCCAAAATTAATACAAATAATAGGAAAGTTTGGGGATGTTTTATTGATTTGAGGTTATCATTTTGTGATTAAGTTTTTTTCAAATTGCTCCCGATATACAAAGACAGCAGTTTGCTTACTGCATTGCTAATTAAAGTTTCATATATAAAATAGATGTTTCATAGAAAGCAATCTTTAAATTATAGTGGTAAGTCTAATAAAAAGAATGTTATTTATTTTATGAATACTTTACTGTTGGATTTGATTTTTCATTTTGCATATGACATGCACATATTTAGTAGTTTTCTGCCTTTGAGGTTCCATATAAAAATGTTAATGTAGTTGATAAAGGTGAAATTTCTTAAATCTCAAACTGCTGCTGACTTCAAATGTGTAAGTTCAGTTATTTTTTTAATTTTTTCTGATTCATATTCATCAAAACACAATTTTTCTGTTCCTGAAATATATGCAATGTTTTGCCAGCTATAAAATTTATTATTAATATTAGAAAATATATGTTGTTGTTCTAAAACAAATTCAATGACAATTCAAAAATGAAAATTAAAGACTAGCATATATCAGTAGTTACGCCAGTTTTTTAAACTAATCCCTGAAGTTTTTCTATATTTATAGACTAGGCCCAATAAACGAATATCATCAAAAAGTGAATACAATTTTTAAAGTTTTAAATAATCCCCATATCACTAAAGTCAATGCCACTGGACCGGTAACTCACATAATGTGATACAATGAAATTTCAACACAGCAGATTTGCCAATCCTTTTTGTTTTTTGTAATTGGACCTGACCTATAATTATTGGACAAAATAGCATATGCACAATTAATGTATCTTATTGCTTTCAATACATTAATTTGTCCTTAATATCACTAGCTTCAAACTTTATAGCACTGGGGAAAAAACATAGACAAATAGTATCCTAACCCAAAGACATATCTGTACCTAAAAAGTAGATTCTAGCATTAATTCGCCAACATTATGCATTGTTTGTTCACTAACTTCTTCTTGTATAGCTGGAAGGGAAGGTTTTGTGGTCAGAGGTGTCTCAATCTTAAACAGCGATTCCATCCTGATATGAGTATTGATGTAGAAGGACTTCTGAAAGGACTCAAGGGTGAAGTAGTAGATGAAAGGGTCGAAGCAGCAATTCAGAGTTGCAAGGCACAAGGTTATTGGGTACATAATTTTTGAAAATCTTTCCAACAAGCAATTAGTAATGGCTTGGGAACGCACCAGGGCATACAAGAAAAGGACAGAGTTATAGGGTACAAAACATACCACAAAGACTGCCATATGCACTGTGATCATCTTCAGTACTTTTTTCTTATTAGTCCCAATTTGTGACAGTGTAGCAGGCTTGCGAAGTGTTCTTAACACAACAGAAGAGCAAGAAATATTCAATATTAGAGGAATGATGAATCCAACAACTTCAATAAATATGGTGATCTTGGACAGATAAGTCTTCCAGACACGTTTAGAGAAACCCTCAAAACAGGTAGTGGTTGCATTGTTGACATTAGTGGTGGAGAACAAAGAGGCTGAAATACCTCCACTGAGGACCAAGATCCATACACCAGCGCACACAATAGCAGAGTTCCTTCTGGTCCTAATGGTACGAGATCGGAAGGGATACACAATTGCTAGGAAACGATCCACACTAATACAGGTGAGGAAGAGCATGCTCCCATAGATATTGGTGAGGAATGCAGTCCCAGAGATCTTGCAGAGAGTGTCACCAAAAGGCCAATGGCGGTTGAAATTGTAAAATATTTTGAAAGGTAGAGTACAGACAAAGAGCAAGTCGGAGAGGGCTAGATTGGTGATAAAAATAGCAGTCTCACTTCTCATTTTCATGCGGAAGCAGAAGACAAACAGAGAGGCACTGTTGGTTATCAGACCCAGGATGAATACAACACTGTAGACAGCACCATTCAGATTATACTTGAAGGAATCATCAACAATGCATGTATTATTGGCAGTAGCATTGCCCAATCTAGATCTGAAGCTTGAATTTAAATCTTGGAATTGAAAATCAATGAATCTTCTGTCACCCATGGATTTTTTTTTTCAGAAGACCTGCTTGCTGCAGGGTTCACCACTTTTTGACTAGGGAGTTGTAGGAAATGTTTTCCTCCTATGGAGACAAGATGGAATGAATTATCAAATCTGCCATCCATCTGTGAGTTCTGTAGTATAAAAGATATTCTGTTTACCCAGAATAGAAGACAACATGCACATTCAATTTGTTTTGACAAGTATTTTTTGAGTGCCTACCATATACAAAAGTGTACTATTAGAATATGCAGTAAGAGTGAGATCACGCTCAATACTGTAAGTACAATACTATAGCATTGCAGTGAACAGAAACAAGGTGTTTTTAATCAAAATACTTATGGTGGTGGTATCTCTGAGAGTTAAAACAATGCTAATACTTTGAAATTTATATGGTAATTTTCAAAAACTACATGGAAAAATCTTGAATTCATTATGTTAAAGGGAATAAATATAAAAGTGGAAGGTAATTATTAGATCTTTTAACTCATCCTTAGAATATGAATAACTTAAGCATACAAACTGAAAAAAAAACAAAATCCATAGATTTAAACTAAGGTTATTACCAGAATGAAAGGAATTGGGTCAGGAAGAAATTAAGGGATATTTTTGATGGTGGATTGAACTGGAACTTTGGTTGTGAGAGTGGTGACAATATATCAAGAAAGGGGTATAAAATAATGTCCAATTCCATATTATAAATCAATGATAAGTCAATTGAAAAATTAAAATTAAAAAATGTATTTTATATGTTTCTAACAAGAGCACTGTGCAAGAAAAAAACATTTAATATGATATACCAGAGTACGTATTTTAAAATTAGTGTCAGAGAGGAAGCAAATATAAATGTTGCAGTCAAAACCAGAATTCACGTTTTTATTTCCTAATCAAATGATAGGAAATAATAATAGGAATATTAGTTATTAATAATAATAGGAAATAATCTCTACACTGTATTGGATACCTTTATCTTAATTAAATTCATAATTTCAGTAGTTCTATTACATAAGAATACAGGTGAATATGGACTCCCCAGGATATGTTTCCTATAAATTATGACTAAAGTCGTTTTGGGGTGAGAACCATGTCCCATGGTTCTTAGGGTCTACTTTGAATGTGGTGCTAAGTATTGCTCCAAGTGGTGTCTAGGGGAAAATGTGATACCAAGGATTGAATCTGGGACTCTTGCATAGTATGCAAGCACACTGGTTGTTTGTAACATTTCCCTGGCCATTCATGAAGCAATATTTGGATCACTTTCTTTCTTCCAAAACACGAGTTCAGAGAGCAAGAGACCCTTCACTTAATTAAAATTTCTGGATAAAGGTTAAAGGATTTTGCATTGAATTACATTTTATTTCACAAGAGATAGGATTCAAATAACAATTTCAGCATTTCTCTCCTTTAGTAGTCCTCTTTCCAAGTTTTACCATATCTCATTTTCCCCCTTCTCCTTCTCCCACTACTGAATTCATCAACCACTTCAATGTTTCAGCTTCTAAAATGACCCTGGGTAACCAGGCCTTTACTATCTGAAATGAAATGAGAATGGTAGTTTTGACCAACATCATCCCCATACCACACTGTACAGCTGTGTTCTAGTCAGCTACATGTTTTCTGCCTACTACAGCTTGATCATGGAGCTATCATTGACTTAATCCTTGTTGGGTATATGAGCTGACAGTTTTCAAAGGTACACACAATAATCAGAGTACTCCTCTGTTAGGTCAATAACTGCCATTGGACAGGAAATGTATTTCAAATGTGTTCCGTAACACACTATAGACAAATAACTGCTTAATTATTTATATTCAGTGGGGAGGATATGGAATAAAAGTGATCTCTATTCCCTGACATATCCAGTAACAGGTTTTCAGAAAGTTATAGTTCAAAATGCAATAAAGCATTACTGTGAAGTAATTCCTTCTTACATCACTCCTTCCAAGCCACAGGCCAAAGCATCTCTGTAAGAACAGGGGTGAGAGTGGAAGGGAGAATGTACCAGAGATACAGAGGCCTGGAGTCAAGTCAGCCAGTGTTTAGTGTGAGGAGAGAAAAACTTGTTTGAGTAAAAAAGGCAAGCATTTTCTTACTGAGTACCTAGAAGTGATGAACTTAGAGAATACAGGGTTCAAAGAAAAAGTTATCATTTTAATAGCTAAAACTTTTTAAGTTAAAATTATAAACTGGCTGTTCCTGAATTTTCTTTCAGCAAATCTTTATAGAATGGCTCCTTGACCCTCATATATTTTACGAAAATCATACTCCTTATTGGTCATTTCATCTGATTAGAGAGCTCAACTTTTGCCAGGATAAACCTAGATTTACAAAAGTTGGAATCTTGACAAAGGAAGGAGCAATAAGTATAAAAGTCACTCTGAGGAAGAAAGAAGGATAGGTGTGGAGAACAGAAGAGAAAATAGGAAATTAGCATTAATTAAAAAACTGGATTGTTGAGGTTTGGAAAAGCACCTTGCAGAACAGAGGTCAATCATGTCATTTACTTCATATCCAAGTCTTGAGAGATAGTTTCATTTCATAATCCTAATCAAAACCTTTCTACCTTGTTTCATCTTATTCTTTGCATTTTTTTCTCAAAACAATACATATTGTTTGTGTTTATGGTTAGTGAAGCTGATAAGAAAAACAGAAATCTTCCTGTGAAATCTCTCTTAATGGAGCTCATATCTCATCTGAGGAGCTGTAGAACCAACTTTCTGTAGATTGTTTCACCAATTTGGTGAAGGAAAAATAAAGATAATGACAAATTTTTAAACTGTTTATACTAGTTAATATACTATTTTAACACCCCTATTCATGTTTTTCATTCTTAAAAGAAATCAAGCCAGACAGTTAAAGAGCATCTCTCTAACATATACAATATAAATATTATGGTTTACATACATAAAATCACTTACTTTTAAAAGGGAAAAGATGCTTTTTTTTTAAAAAAAAAAGGGTTTTGAGTGAAATGAGTCAGAAGGAGAGGGACAAATACAGAAGGATTGATTTTATTTGTGGTATATAAAAAATATATGTAGAACACTAATTCCGATGGCCAGGGAAAACTGGTTAGTAGGACTGGTCAATGGTTGGAACTAACCACAAGTGTGTTTGAGGGTGAGGTAAGTAAGACAGAAAAGAGACCAGTATGACAATAATAGCTGGGAACAGTCATGCTGGACAAGATCTGAGGGTTAAAAGTATGTAAGAGGATATTCTTGATAACCTTTCAGTATTAATATTGTAAACCACAAAGCCTAAAAGGAGAGAGAAAGAAGGAGAGAAGAGTCCAGGCTGGGGGGTGAGAGTGTGGGGGCGAGGGGTGATGGGAGGGAATCTGGGGAAATTGGTGCTGGGAAATGTACACTGGTGGAGGGATGGGTGTTAGACTTGTATGACTGAAATCCAATCATGAACCGCTTTGAAAAAATAAAAATTAAACAATAAATAAATTAAATTAAATTAAAGATTTTTTAAAGCTAAGTTTCATTCACCATTGTCTGCTAGCACCTGCCTTCTACAATAAATGCTGCCAAAAGAGTTTATTTTACTTGGAAAAACTTTTTCTTAATAAAAAGATTTCACTTCTGCCCAGAGTTCTTCCTGTCTGCCTGTTAGTGACCTATTTAAACAGCATTCATCTAGCTCACTGGTTATGCAGTCTTTTGCAATTTTCAAAATAGTGTTTTAAATAAGTAATCTTTATCTACTGAGTTTTCCATTCAGTTGCATGTCTCCCAGAAAATATACACTATACCAGGAACAGGCAGTTTGAAAATATCTGGCACTTCTGTTTTGCTTCTTTGAGTAGCCAAATCCTGTGGGAAAGAAAGGACCACAAACAAGAAAGCATTACAGTCTCAATCCTAAAGAGAGGGCACTGCCTCTATGGCCCTATTCATAGTGTTTCCTTGCTCAAGCACACAGCACCTTTGCTATTTAGTGATGAGGGTGTGGAACTGGGATTTAACAGGACATTGAAAGAAATTCTATTTCTGACTCAGACACTGGTTCATTCTGTAACTTAGCTATACTGTTTCTCTTCCCTGTATAAACATTACCTCTGAGTCTCACAGCAGAGGCTAGGAAGATTCAACAGGGCTTGTGAATAGCTTTCTGAGTGGACCAATATTTAGTCCTACCTAAGCTAAAGAGGCTTTTAATTTTTCTTCTTCTTTCTCACTACCCTAATGCAGCTAAACACCATGCCTCCATTTTTCTTGATACATTGAACTTCATATGAACAACACATCCTCCTAACACCAAGCATACCTTGATCATGGAGATTATCCTTTTGAGTTTCAGCCTTAACTACACAATTTTCTCATACCAAGATAATCCATGAGTATGCTTCCAAAGGAATATCCTCCACTGAGCTGGGTTTTTAAAAATCAGAGAGGAGCAGGAGAGATAGCACAGGGGTTATGGCACTGCTTTGCATGAAGATGAACCCAGTTAGTTCCCTGACAAGATAAATGGTTCTCAACACCCACGCACAGTTAGGAGTAGCCACTGAGCAAGACTAGGTGTGGCTCAAACTTCCCTCCCATAAATAAAATCATAGAGGTAGTGGCTCTTAAGCTGATTCTGAAGGAAAATCAATGATATTTAAGAAAATGGTGACTGACTTCCTTTCTTTTGAGTAAAACATCTATTTAACCACTAGATTTTCCTTAACAGCTAATACTGAATGGAGATATTTGGACTTCAGATAAAATAAAGAAGAAAAAAGGTAGTATAATACAATTATATTTTTCACAGTGGGGAGTTTTATACTATTGTCTTTTGAAGAACTTTGCAGTCAATTTTTCAAACAATTATCACCTAAAGCTGCATTTTAGAAATGGAGATCATATGACACCCTGTGGCCTCCCAAAATATTCCAAAGGAGTCTTAGATGAAAATCTATTAAACCCTGGGTTTGAGGATACACAGCGAGAAAATGGAGGTACAACTGGTAGGACAAGGGGGCCACAGAGAAGAAACAAGGTGGGGAAAAAGTCTGATAAACACTGACATATGGTATCAATTAAAATGCATTTTGTTGATAAATAGAAATCTGTTCGTCTGGAGGTTGAC